CTTACTACTAGGAACAAGAATGCTACTAGGAACAAGGACGATACTAGTAACAAAACAAAAGTCCTTGTGAAGCCCACCAAGGTCACATGAAAAAGGCTCGACTGACCGAACGTTCAGTCTTCTTGAACTTAAGTTCAATAAAATCCCAGAACGGAAGGGGCCACCAGGGAGAAGTGCAGCCTTAAAGAATCAAACAATGATTATGTTGTCTTGAAAATCTCCAAATCGGCCGTTGGCCTGGTGCCAAACGCTGAGTGCAAACGAGAGGCCAACTTGGACATGGCCAGGTGGATTGATGCCATGGGGCCGTCCTTGGTGACATCCGAAATGAATCCATGATACAAGGCATGTAGGGTAGGAGCAGTTGGATCTTGACCTGCAAAAAAGGCTCTCGATCAATTTTAACAGATCTTTGAAACCTGAATTTTGGAAGTGCTGAGAAATTGAAAAGAGATCTTGCAGCGGATTCAATAGCCCTGTGTTTATCACTATTTTGCTGTTGATCAATGCCACACAGGATCTGCCCAACAGCCTGAACAGCCATGGTTTTGCCGTCTGATGTTGTCTGCAGGCCAAAATGCTGGTCGCAGCTGACAGGTCTAATACGTCCTTCCGCTCAAATCATAAGACATGATCCACCAAGTGATCCCATGTGGTAAGACATGATCCGGCATGGACCCCACGCAGGGTTCGCGTCTCCAACTGACCCTACGACCTTTGAAGGGTTTTCGTAAGCTCGTATCCAGCAGGCCAAACGACCGTGCAACATGCAGACCGGTCACTAGTCGAAACGCCTGTGCCACCATCGCAACCAGACCCCTGAGCAAGCCGGGGTGGTCGTCCGTCCATCTGGGTTGACCGTTCACTTCAGTGAAGAGCTTGGCTGCATCCGGATGATTTGTCGCAAGCTTGGCCCAGAAGTATCACAAGGACACCTTTTGGCCCCCCTGCTGTTATTTGTTGTTCCCCTAATCGAAACGAAGCTGGGTGAGAGGTTCAACAACTTATGTTGGAAATAGACAAGGGAAAGGGGCAAGGCTGGTGTCCAATATATTCGAGTGTCATTGACCTGGACATGTTGAAAGAGTAGCTTCCAATATGCCCGCCGCGCCTGCAAAGTAGAGGGGCTAATCTCTCTTATGGCAGGGAATGCTAGAGTCCCTACAGTCCTTTTATGTTTCTTGATTTGAACTCCACGGACCTCAAGTCCTTTCTTCGTGAAAATGCAATTGTGTCCTCCTCACAATCCAATCAAGCCAACCCAGCCCACCTTGTGAACGCACTCAAATCCTTGTCTGCTTCCGTTTCACCCCACTCAAATCCTTGCGCGCGGAGCGCGGCACCTCGCCACAGACCGTGCAGCCAAATGCTGTGCATTTCGACTGTCGCACATGAGGAAGCCGCGGTCCTGCACTCGGTGCGCGGCGACTGCGCACGGCCAGAGCGCCAGGCCCAGGGAAGCATGCTCCGAGGTTCAAGTCGGCACAGCATTGGGGGAGCACAGTCGGATGACCCATCCCCAGACTTGTCGGAACTGGCCCAAACTTTGAGATTGTAGAAAAGTAGAGGTGACTTTGCCAAAAGTCACGATGAAACAGTCACAAAACCTCACAAACCTGTATATATATATATATAAACCCCGTTGGCGCCGTCCTGGATGCTGCAGACGGCATCATGGAGGATCTCCGATTGGAAGACCACACTGCTCAAGATGCGTTTCAAGCCCAGGCCATGCGCCTCGCCTCGGGTCGACGAGGACGAGAGCGATGGTCGCCCTTCGGTTCGAATCTTCGTTCGAATCGATCAAGAATCGAAGGGCTTAAGCGGACTCCAAGGACCAACGAGATGATTGGTCGGTGGGATTCCGCAGAGGACTCGATGATTCCACACCCGAAGAATAAGTATAGTCGATATGAATGGATCACTGGATCTTTGGGGGCAGAATCCGTGTGAGTTCAAAGACAGTCACTGCCAAACATGGCCACCACACATGGGCAAACATGACCCAACAACACCGGTGTCTTCAAGTGGCGAAAGCTCTCTGGCACACAGCCCAAGAGTACCTGCATCAGAACTGACGGCATGGCGGCATGGGTGCATAAGTGGGAAAAGATTCAAAGCTCGGTGAAAAGTTTTGCGCACAGAAGCCAGAAGCTTAGGAACAAGAACGCTACTAGGAACAGGGCCATCGCTACTAGTGGCTTGTTTGCGCCACTCCGTCGCAACTGGGCCTTCGATTTTTGAGGTCCAACCCTTGAGAGGAAGCCAACACAAAGCAGTGCTGCAAACAGCAGTGCATGCCATACAACACGCGGAATCCTTGGTTGGCAGTTCTCTACTGCTGCACCTTTGGAGAATAAGTGTAAGAATAATAACTCCAAATGAGCTCTTTTTGCTGCAGCTCTTCATGTCTTATTTCGATAGATTCTTAACTGCATACATCATCTTGGTTCCTGTTTGGAGGGATCCACTCACTTTGCTGGGCAGCTAGGCGGCTGAGGGTTCCTGAAAACCACCCCCATCTGTAGGTAGATTCCATGTTAGCCACACCCAATGTCCTTAGTGTCCTTGCCACATAAAATTCCGTCAAGCCCTTGAAACATCTGAAATAAGAAACTCCAATCCACCAGTGAGCAGTCTGCCCTAGAACTCCCAAACCAGCCATCCCAAACGCCCAGCTCCCGACCCTCCCGACCCTCTCTTCTTTCAGCCCCCGTGGGTCGGCGCACGGCCCAGGCGAGCACGACTAAGGCCACATGCCGCCCGCAGTGGGCCAAGGCCGCCGTGGACTCGGACGGGACCAAGGTGTGGCGACAGATCTCCAGCCAACCTCAGATTTCGGCTCCAACAGCACCTAGGAGCGATCAGCATCGCTACTAGGAGCTCCTGGCATCGCTACGAACGGAGGGATCAGCATCGCTACGAGGGGCTCCAACAGCGCAGGTGTTTCCTTTGGCGAAAGAAGAGTAGTTGGAGGATTCCACCACGCAGCTTCGGCGCGACATTCGGCGGCCAGGTACTTCGACATGGGTGTGAACAAGAGAGGCCGCTGAACGAAAGTGGTTCTGAAGGGTAACTCCTATTTCACGACGCCGCACCGGCATCGATCGAAACGAGATTGACCCAATGGCCCAATTACCTAAGATATGGGAGCAAACATGATCCTATAGAGTGAATCTCCAATACAGTTAGGAATGCAGTAAGAAGAAAATGCACGCCTGCAAAGACTGCAAAGACCGCATAAGAGATCTTTCGTGCAGCTTTTGAAGTCACCAAACCAAAGACAGCCTTATCTCCAAGAGACCAAATATCACAGAACTGCTGGGACATCCAGCAGTCTGCTCCAAATGGACAAGGTGAAAGGAACCCCACGAATTTGCAGGACGGCGTTGCTGATGTTTCAAGCTTGCTGATAAAGGTGTGGGATGGCTGCCAAGTGTGTCAAGGTACTTGCTTGAACGGTCAGCCTCCTTTTTTCAGGAGTTGGTCTTCTTCGTAGACCAATTTACTGCCTGCAAGCATTAACATGACCAAGTCACTCTCTATCAGCTTGTGCAAGTGCTTCACGTGCTCTGGGCTGGAAACCAAGACATGCCGAGATGGCATGGCCTCCGTCGATGGCAACCAAATGCTTTTTCACTGAAAACAACTGTGACAGGCTCTGATTCTTTGGTCCAGCTTCCTGATCCCAGGTACAAAGACTGGCTGTTTGGCCAAAACTTGTCTGGAGCTTCGCCCTACAAACCAGTGTCCAACCACCAAATTCCAAGAAAATGCTAAAGCTCAACGTTCGATTCAAATTGATTAAACCAAATGGCTACGACACTGCCTGCCTCCAGCGTTTCGAGATCCAAGTGCTCGATGAGTAGCGCAAGGCAGAGATCGCCCACACACTGCGCCTGACTACCTGACATGTTCCAAAAGTTGATTGAAAATCCAAAGACAAGAAGGGTTTGTGATATAACAGTGATATATTGTGATAGTGATCATGGTGATACCCCCCCCCAGGATCACCGCAGTGGGACACCAATGAGTGGATCAGTTCCACCTGTCACCCTCAGAGGTCGATTCGCATGGCTCCACCACGCTATGACCACCCTCCACCGCTTTTGCGTCAAGGAACAAATCTCCGCATCGCCCAGAAGCCAGTGATGCAAATGCGCCGCCCGCGGCAGACTTCCCAGGAAACGCTGTCGGTAGCATTCCTGGAACATGGTCGGCAAGGATCGGCAAGGACGGTCAAGCCAAAGTAATTGCCGGGCATTCGACTACTACAAGATACATAAGATACTACAAGAGCCTCCTCCAAAGACCCATTGCTTTTCAACCCAGTCCTCTGCTATGCGACAGATCTGTTCAGGATCTCTCCTGCAAGTCACAGACACAGGATCTCTCAAGAAGCTTCCCTGCTATTCTCTCAGATGTTCAGTTCCTTTGGGGCCCAGGGATGTTCGGGTTCATCATCGATGTTGGGCAGTTCAACCCTCGACCTGCAAGGCCCATACAGTGCCGCAGATCCGAAATACCCGACACCCAAAAGGTGTCAGCCCTGGTCTCACGGAGCCCGAGATGAAAGCCCTGGTCTCCTGCTGATTTGAGGGTCGTATGCTGCAAGCAACAAGCACTCCAGCACACAGAGCTGCAACTCCAGCCCCTGCTTCACCACAGTCTCGACCTGCAAGCCATGTCACCCTCATTGACCCTTGCTCTCCCTACGGAGCTGGCACAAGATGTCTGCCCAAAAGCCTCCACAAGAAAACGAGTTGCATCCGCTTTACCAGAAAGATCATTGACCTCTGAAATCATCTGAAACTCCAACATCCCTTATGTCCGTTTCCACTCATCACTGGAGGCCTCCCCATGTTCGGGCGACGAGGAGAAGCGTGGACAGCCTGAGACCTGCCGTCTCCGAATGGAAGGAGGGTGACCGGGTGACCTGGTTACTTGAACCAACCATCACACCCCCGTTCTATTGGCTTCTCCTTAGGAAATGGGCATCAATGTCCCTTACCAATTGGAAACAAAAGCAGTAAACCATGTCAGACGTGCCAAACCACAACAAGGTATGGTCAGTCACAGTGAAGGGCACGTGTCTCGCAATCAAGTGCGTAGGTATCCTGGTCGTATTCCTGGCCTTTCTCTCACACTGCATGTGTTTGATGATTCCATATGAGTCATATGAGATTTGCCACAGATCTCCACTTGATCACTTACAATCTCTACGTGCAATGTGCATCAACTAGTATTAGTAGAGTGTCAACATGGACGATTTCCGCCTTGGGAAGAATGAGTGGGTCCTTGCTTCCGTTTGCACTCACTTCGTTGCATCTTTTTGAGCAAAAGCCTTGTTCCAAAGCGCCTTGACATACAAATCCCAAAGCTTCTTCTCCAGGTTATCTCCCAGAAGCTTCTCAGAGAGCTCCCGACCTCAGGACAGTCACGTCTAGTGAGCCCAAACACCTCAAAGTCCTTTGCCTTTGACTTCAGTTTCCACAACTTGTTCTCGACAAACATCACCACCCCCCTCTTTGGAGATCTTAGTCATCCCGGCATTGCGCAGCAAAGGGGTGGCTGTCATCATGTGCACCGCGCAGCACTACGGCCAGGGCCTGTAAAGCCTGCAAAAGAAACACATGGCTCGCAGCAACACACTTGAAGAAGTTGATTGATATGGCAATATGTTCCCAAACCATGTCTATACTGTAATTCTATGCATCCAAAATGGCCATGTGGTAAACTCAAAGCACTTGCGGTTCTTCAAGAAGCCACTTCCAATTTTCTGCCTCACCCTCCCAAACAATTCAGCCACACCATAGTAAATGTGTGCATTCAAAATCACCAAATATGATATATGCAATTGAAAGTACATCATATCTTGCAAAGTACATGTCTTCAGTCGTGTTTTCTGTTGGGAACCCGTGGCTTCACTCCTCTCCTCACAACGCTCGGAGTGCAACAAGTCGACGAGCAATGGCAAGACTCCTCCAGCTGAGGTCGATGGTTTTTCACCACAACTAGTGTTGCTCCAAAACGGGTGCATCCCAAACCTGTCCGTGACAAGAAAATAGACTAACAACCTGCTCCTGAAATATCATTGAAGAAGGACATCCTCCCATTGCACCCTGCTCAAGGTCAACCCATGACTGTGCAGTGTCTCACTGTGAATGACTCAGTTTAGACACCTTCAATCCATTTCAATCCCTCCCAAACCTCAGTTCCGGAGGCAGTCAGACCTGACCTGAGAGGTTCAAGTCCACGAGCTCATAGATCGCACCCTCGTAGTGCAAGACCGGCAGTGGCGCCAGTCGGTTTCGTGCCCAGAGCCGCAACAAATCCTCTGCCGTGCTAGCGCCTCAGATACAGCAGCCATGGCCCATAGCAGTGCCATTTTCCAGAGTTTCAATGATTGGGCATCTCCAAATAGGAAAGCACAAGGGTTGTATGGATTGCTGGTCAATGCTCCTGTTTGCCAAGTGGTTGCTTGCAAAGTCAAAGGTTCTATGGGGAAGTGCAAATGTTGGTTCCAAAAAGCTTCCATCTGCCTGTGTAAGGCAGGGTACTCTGCAAACGCGGCTAGGTGGGATGTCATCCGAACACTCTCCATGTGATCTACCCCAATCACTCTCCGTTTCGGCCTATGCCCAGCAGCGGCGCAGCCTTTTCGGCTAGAGCCTTCGCCTGGCATACGCGGAATTTGTGCATGCAAGAAAAGGACCTCTAACTTGGGAAAGCCCGTGAAATGTGTTTCTTGATCCAAAGCCATCAAATGAAAGATGTGAAGAGTCAGAGTTGCCCAAGAGTCTTCAGCTGCTCCGCTCGGCCTCTGAAGGCAGAACCTCCGCATCGGACACCACCGGCGCCTCGAAGGTGCCCAAGGGATCTCCAAGCCTGGCAGCATCTCCGAGCTTGGTCCGAAAGGCTCGGAGTAACCACGGAGGGGAGGGTTCCTGTCCTACAGTACTGCTGGGGGATGGTCCACAAGTTGAAGATGTTCAGATGCAAGGGGCCCCAGTGCTTTCTCGCCAAAGCGTGAAACACTGGGAACCCACTTCTGGTGGCTTTGCCAGCCTCTGGCGGAGCTTGGCATCCGTGAAGACCTCTTCCCCATCCCCTTCGCCACGCTCCAACCAAGCACGGAAGTCGCGGGCACTATGGAAGACCTGAAGTACAAGGCTCGGAAGATGTGGACAGGAAGGCCGCAATGCTCCCCATCTTTTTTGGGATGGGATAGTTTGGTGTCGCTGAGGACCAAATACTCTCTAGAAGGTTGATTGTGAACAATTAAAGGCTCCCCCACGGGAATTGGGAAGAAATTGGGCAACTCCCGTGCAACAAAAGTACAGGGACTGCTGATGTCTAGGTGATTTCTTCTCACTCACGCCTTCACCACTTGGTTTTGACAGCAAACATAATCAGGACTGCTACCCCTTCTACAGCCCCAATCCATTGGTTGATCTGCTAAACAATGTTTTCTGGTTCCTTGAGTCCTCTTCAGCTCGAAATGATGGGCAGGTAGACATGCGGGTGTATCTTGATGGAGATGTTGACACTTCTTCTTAAAAAGAAAAAGAAATGTTCTTCAGCAACAACGGATAGGAACTATGGCATGGCATGGTTGTCTGTCAATCCAATAAGGAGGCGACCGCAGCTGCCATGGCCAAGCTACTCTACATTGTGGTGGATTTGTGTTCGGCGTGCCAAGTACAACCGCACAATCTGCAGACGTTTTTGATTGTGTCACTCAAGTGCTTTAGTTTTTTCCGAACATGTCTGTTTTTACCGCTCCTGTGGTCTGCATGTGGGAACCAGCCAAGTTTGTTTGCCTGCATTGTTTTGATTGAAGAGTGTCTGAGGAGAAACCAACGTTGTTGCAAAGCGTGAAACAAACATTATGTTATGTTAGCTAACGCATGTTTTTTCTGTGAGATGTCCTCAACCCCCTGCCATTTGCTCGAGCGGGCAACAGCAACACTTGCCATGAATGGTTTCAAAGTAGAGCTGCCATCACCTCAACCAAGTTTTGAATGATGCAATGCATTGCTTGCAAAACAATCACTTACCACGGGCCTCTTTGATGTTGATTTTGCTTCGTGTTTCGGGTTTGCGAGGAAGCCATGCCATGTTCAACATGCGCATTGGGAGCCTCATGTTTCTTTGAAACTGAGGCGAATGTTTTGAAAGCAAAGTTTCATCACAAATCTTCCAAAGAGGAGCATTGCCATAGAGCCTCTCCATGCTGTCTCGCCAAAGAGTCTCACTGACTCTCTGTTTCGGCGATTTTGTCTAGGATTCACTCTGCTTTGATTTCTTGGACTTTGCCTCTTGCGACTCAGTTGTTTTTCTTTGGTTCGCTGGTAGTTGAAATCCATTCAACGATAAAACCTCACTGGCTCTGCTTCAATGAGTTTAATGTTGAACGAGTTCTGCTGTGGTTGTTTCGGCTTTGTTTCTTGCAACTCAACTCTTCGTCTTGGTTCGTTGGCAGTTGAGACCCATTCAGCCATCTCGGTCATCAAAAGATCCTCCATGTGCGTGCGAAAGACAGGAGTATCAAAGGAGACACACACACACTTTTCTGCAGGTGTGCATTTTGGTCAGAGCAATTCTTTGTGGCACACAAACTGACCTAAGTCTGCCATGAGTTCATGAAGCACCACTTCGCCCGATCACTTAGATGATCGCAATGGTTTTCCGAATGAGACTGTCGTAGGTCTGTATCACTTCGCTGAAAAAGATCCTTTTATTTCAGAGAGTTGAGCCTGCATCCAACCTAATTGGCGCTGGGAACATTTTTCCAGAGTGCCACGCCACTATGCATGTCTTTCACTGTTTCGCAACCAAAGGTTCCAGCATGCTGATTGTGTGTACCACATACCAAGGCTGAAATAGATTAGCAAAGAAACCAGGAGTCGACCTTCCTCCATTCCTGTCGGACTATTGGACGGTTGTAGGGACCTTATACGGTAATGCTCTGCTCTCAGCCTGCTCGTAAGTTATCTTTCTCTCTCCGTGCCCTCTCGGTACCCAGCCAGTCGCACACCAAACAAACGACTCCTTGACACGGAAAAAATCACCTTTCCTTCTGTTCTCGCCTCTCCTTGCGACCAAACGTTGACCTGGATCTCCTCAGCTCATTCTCCAAGCTCCGCAACTACGTGAAAAACCGACTACCTCAAGTAAGATTACAAACGTTCCACACACAAAACAAAAAGTACGTGCAACAGCTCACAAGCAAAGCAAAAGAACTCGCACCACTTTTCCGCACCTGGAGCGGAAAGTCAAGACAAAAGGCCATGAAGTGCTTGCTGCAAGCAATTCCCATGCGAGCTTAAATGCACTCAAACATGCACAAACCTGTTCAAGAAGCATTAACACAAAAGACAGGTTTCTCCTCAGAAGGCTCTTCAGAAGGCTCCAAAACATCACATTCCATGACCTATTCTCTCCAAAACGCTTCGAAACACAACATTCCGTGAGGAACACTGGCTCAACGTGAAGAACCTACTACCTTAAGTAATTAGGTTACAAACGTCCTACACACAAGACAAAAGCGCGTGCAACAGCTCACAAGCAAAGCAAAAAGCACTCGCACCACGTTTACACGCACCTTGAACCAAAGTCAAGTACAAAAGGCTATGAGGTACTCCTATTGCAAGCAATTCCCATGCGAAACACTGTAAGTGTCGAGCTAAAACGCACTCAAACATGCACAAAACTGTTCAAGAAACATTCACACTACAAAAGCTACAAGAGTTCCTCTTCACAAAGCTTCTAAACAATGTACATTCCATGAACTATGCTCTCCAACGCTCTCCAAAAGAAACACAAAGTTCCGTAAAGAACGCTTGCTCAAACATTTGAAGTGCAAAACCACGCACTCCAAAAGCAAAAACCTCACAGCTACGGCATTAGCCTGCACCTCGCTACACCACACATTTTCACACCCCCTCCCCAGGTGAGGCTCATTCACTCTGAGCTGCGGCCTCACGCTTCTCAGCTTTCCAGTGCTTGTTGGTAACTATCTTTTCGCAAGCTTTGCACAGTTGAAGGCGACTGAGTGCCTTCCCGCGGGTGTGATGGCAAAGTGGGCTGCAAGGAACTACAGTCTCAGCGCGGCAGACCTTGAACCAATCTTTCCAGAAAGTTGGTGGCATCAAGACTCCACTGGCCCCAATGTTGTCTCTACTCCTCGAGATACAGACAATTGTTCTTGAAAAATTTTGGCAATCATCTCCTCTGCACTGTGGCTATGACGTTCCTTTCCATTGATCGTCACATTGACTCCACGAGACTTGCAGACCCTCTGCGGAGATCGTGCGTGTCGAGTGTGCGAAATGCAGGCGCGAATGCGATTTGTCCCCTGCGCGCGCAACCCTCTGCGGAGATCGCGCGTGTCGAGTGCCCGAAATGCAGGCGAGAGTGCGATTTGTCCCATGCGCGTGCAACCCTCTGCGGAGATCGTGCGTGTCGAGTGCGCAAAATGCAGGCGAGAGTGCCCCTTAAGAGTGTCCTACAGGAGTATCCCACACGAGTGTCCCACATCACGCAAGATCTGACTCAGTAAGAATCCCACAAAGATTCCCATGCTGAGTCTTAGCCTGACAGTACGAGGTCGCAAGCTGCGCCCCCCAAATGTCTGGGTGCAAAATCCTGCCAGCCCAGTGTCCGCGCCATTTGTCGGGGTGGACCATGGCGCTTCTCACTGGCCGGTCAACCAGTTGCGGGGGGTTAGGTGACTTCAACTTGCGGGTGGCTCTCGGGGCCATGGGTGAGAGAACACTGATGCCAACGATGAACGGAAGGGCCATAATGCGTTGCGAGTGGTGCTGCTCAGCTACAACAACTTGCTATGTTCAGCGCACCTCGAGCCAGAACGGCAAGGTGCGCTAACTTTTTTTTGCACGATTGGAGGCGCTATGTGTGCAGGTTCTGCGCAAGTCACCTTAGTCGAGTTCAGAGGAGGTTACTGTACAGGTTGCACTCCAAAGACAAACCAAACCAAAACCAAACACAAAACACCAAACCCAACAACAAACCACCACCGAGAAGAAAGAAGGCAGCAACCTGTTATGTAACCAGGATGGCATTGTAAGCCAGCAACGCAAAAAGGTGAGACAGGGGCATTGAATTCTGCAGCACTCAGTACATCTTGTTCCTCAACGAAACTTGGCTCAGTTTGGTGCCTTGGTATGCGGACTTGCAAAGGCATTACAATGGCACAGGCAAAATTGCCATTGAATACGAAGCAGCACAAGGCTAAGCACATCATGCAGGACGTAGAATTCGCCACATGAGCAAAAAGCATTGCATTCTGCCTGCACCATCCTGCTGGCATCTGGTCTACTAGGGGATGTCAGGCGCCTGAGCTGTTTGCATCCCCAGTATGCCTTACCTCTCTGAGCGCAGTACAGCAAAGGAAAGCTTCTTGGCCAATCCGCCTGAGGCGTGGCGGCAGCAAAATGCTTGTCATGGCAACACAGTGAGCAAAAACGGAGGCTGGAAGCTCGGTGACTGCTGTGCCCTTGAGGTCAACCTCAGCGAGCCATGAACAGTTTTCACACGCCATTGAACCAATGCTATGGAAGTCACTAGGGAGGTATAGTCTCTCTATGCCAGCCCCTCTCAGGCTGCCCTCTGGTAATGCACGTGTCGTGCAGGTCCTGTCCATTTCAAAGGTTAGGGTTTTGAGTGCACTGCACTGCTCGAAAGAAAAACGGCCTACCTGTGCCCCTGGTGCCAGTGTGTTGGTGCCACTTGTCTCGCAGCAAGGTCCAATCTTCGTGAGAGAACAACACTCAGCAAAGACTTTCCGATTGAACCGAATGCACCCCGGGGCAGTTATTTCCCTGAGGGCATAACAACTTTGAAATGCTCCATCTGCAAGGCAAACAACAGAGAGCGGGAGCCTGACAATTTGCAGCTGCGGGCAGCCTTGCCAGGCTGCAAAACCTATATGTTGCGTGCCTGTCGCGACTTCGACGTGGCGAAGCGTTGGTGCAGCATAAAAGGCTCTGTCGTCGACTGCTCCACGCGGGTTGCACGGGACATGCACTGCGGTGGGGCAGCCCGCTCTGCCGTTTGCCTGGATTTGCCAGAGAGACAGGCCGACCACGAGACAGGATCTAACGACTACTTGCACCCGCTTGTGCTGGAGCGATAGGTTTCGTCTAGTGGGAGTTGTGTGTCTGGTTCTATGAGATCCACTTGGCAGCCGAAGGCATCAATGTCTGTGACTGTTGGTAGAAACTCGAGGATGTCGTCCTCCAGTTGCGCAAGGGTCTCATACTGGGCCAGGTTGACTTGCATAGCATGCTCGGTGCCTGCCAACGTAACCAAATGTATATATGTGTGGGTAGGATCAGGGTCGGGCAACATTGTGGTTGCTGTTACCAATACTGGCCTGTCTGTATACCTGTTTGAGCCATCACGTCAAGCAGGACATGTCTCTGCGGAGGACACAGTGATGCGGCGGGAACTTCTTCCGCCCCACAACCCGAAACACCCTAGCTACCTTGCTCTTAGTGGTGGCCGACGCCGCTGATTCGGTTGTTTGGTAAAGTGTTTGTGATTGTGCAACCTTTCACAACCTTTTCATTCCATTTGTGCAATGATCTCATCTGTATTGTACAGGCATTGGGGGGTGGCCGCCCCAGTCTACCCAGTGTAGCCACTCCTCAATAAGGGCCTCAGGGGCCCGTGGGG